CATCTCGTTGATATTTTCAGTAGTAAATGGTACCAATAACAGCACATTTGAGCAATGCAATTGTAGTGGATAAAATGGTCAATTTTTCCGTGCAGTACTGTACGGATTATACGCTCCTCACCGGTTAAGAGTTTGGCCGAGAGTTGTCTCCTACCTTTTCTGGCATAGTGTTGCTCTTTTCTACTTTGCGCCAGTCAAAATGAAGGTCACGTCGCTACAGAAAGTAAACGAAGTATAATATTACGTTATCCCACTCATATTGTTACTCAAGAAATAAGTAATGTCTGATGAGTCTGGGATCTCGGACTATAAGTAGTACCTGGAAATCTGTGACTCCCAAGATTCTGATAGCCAGAATCCTGACAGACCATATTCTCTATTTTTATGGTTAGATTAGGTTTATGTTATTTTATATTGTGTTTTCCACCTGTACTCGCCTCCTACCTTATATTACGCCTCAATTGTCAATAGCATTTTTTAATTTTTTATATAATACAGACAAGATGTAAGATTAATATAACAGTAAACGTTTTAGTTGCTTAGCATGTTCGAGGGGATCATTATTCAATTGTATTGTTCAGCCGTGTTTAATAAAAGCCACACATAGATATTATGCAAGCTCACGTCGGCAAATTACATTTTCACTTCATAAACAAAGTTGTTTTGATATCTCTAATTAACTGTTGACTTCCAACCATTTTACCGCTTGTTCACTTGCAGTCATGCCTTTTGAAAATGAAAATCTGTTAGTTTCTGTGGTATCAGGAAGCCTCTCCAATTATCGATTAAATTTTTAAAGGTCGGTTCCTGGAAATTGCTCAAAATAAAGCGTTACATTTTTGATACTTTTGAGCGGTGTCTATTAATAATTTATATTAAAGGCTGATTTTGTTGTAGGTGTACTTTTATTTTAGGTGTTAACTATTTATAGGTATGTACGGTGGATATGTTCTAACCGCAAATTGGATGGACTCCATCGTTTTTGTTATCATCATCATAAGGTCGTCAGTCCTAAAACTGGTTGGACACGCACCTCCACTCTTTCCTATCCTGAGTTAAACTTCGCATTTCCCTAAAACTAGAACAATCCATATCCTTAACTATTTGCGAACAGTGATTTAATCTAAATCTACCTTTACCCCTCCTAACTTCAGTTTCTGTCTCTAATATGTCTCTGACTAGACCTTCATGCCTAAGAAGGTGTCCTACCAACCTATCTTGCCTATTTTTTATTGACTTCCATATAGTCCTCTGTTCTCCTATTCTTTCCAATACCTCTTCATTTCTAACCTTTTCTACCCACGATATCCTCATCATCCGCCTATAACACCACATTTCGAACGCTTCTAACCTTTTCTTTTCCGCCGCGCCCACTGTCCATGTTTCGCACCCGTACAACGCCGTGCTCCAAACATACACCTTTAACAACCTTTTTCGAATTTCTAAATTAACCGTTCGCGAGCATAGAAGTGACTTCTTTTTATTAAAGGCGACACGACCCTGCGCTATCCTCTGCTTTATATCCCTACTACTCCTTCCATCCTCACTTATCTGACTTCCTAGGTATCTAAAATCAGCCACTTCTTCTAATTTTTCGTCTCCTATCTTTATATTCGCTCTTTCCCTACTTTTTCTTCCCTTGCATATCAGTATTTTAGTTTTACTTTTATTTATTTTCATACAGTACTGATCTGTCAGTACCGCTTCCATTTTATTTAAAGCTATCTCTAGGTCCTCCTTGCTAGATGCTAATACTGCTATATCATCTGCAAATCTAAGCATACTAATCTTTTGCCCTTGCACATCTATCCCTACAGTTGTACTGTCTTTAATGATGTTGATGGCGTCTTCGATGTATAGATTAAAAAGTAGCGGTGACAGTGTGCATCCCTGCCTGACTCCCTTCCTAATATTTACTTCTCTACGTTGCATCCCCAGCTCTATAACTGCCTGTTGCTCTTTATACAAACTAAGTATCACTCTTCTATCTTTGTAATTCATCCCTACATTTTTAAGTATATTTAACATCTTGTCCCATTTAACATTGTCAAAAGCTTTCTCTAAATCTACAAATCCTATGTACGCACTCTTTCCTTTTTCTATCGTTTTCTCTATTGCTACCCGTAAAGCTAGAATGGCCTCCCGCGTTCCTCTATTTCTTCTAAACCCAAATTGATCTTCCCCTAATAGTTCTTCCGCCCTTTTTTCCATCTTTCTCTGGATAATTCTAGTTAAGATTTTTGACGCATAGGAAGTTAAGCTAATTGTTCAAAATGTCTCGCACCTATCCGCGCCCCTCTTCTTAGGTAATGTTACTACTACGTTCCGTTTATAGTCGTCTGGGACTTTCCCCGTTTCGTAAATGTGACTAACTAGCTTAAACATACGATCTCTAACCTCTTGTCCTGCATGTTTTAGAATTTCTCCCTGTATCCCATCTACCGTTTTTGTTATATAGAAAAGAATATTATGGTCAAAAAATGCACCTTTTCATATTCTTAAGGTATCTATTACCTAAAATGGTTAAGGGACCTTTAGGAATTTTTTTATATATCAGAATTTAAAACAACTAATCAAAGCTATGTGGTAGTACTAATTTGGTCCCCTTGGATGGGCTTTTGTAGTTATTGTTAAAATTTTAATTTAGTAGAAGCAACCAATTACATGCACTTTCATTCTACTTTACCTTTGACCCATGACTCAGTAGCAGAAATAGAAAAGAGATCGAATTTCTATAGAGCTCTCTGTTTAATAGAATAGAATGAAGTGGCTTTCAATATTTGACATTTCATTTTTTAATTACGTTACAAATTCAGTTATTTTGAGAGACGGTTTTTTATACTTATATAAAAATAGAAGTTCCCGTAAAGGTGGCTTTTTTCTATTGGTAAGTTGTTTTTTACAATCGTATTTTTCGTTGTTAGAAAAAAGAAAACGTTTGAAAAAAATTAAATTAGTTCGTTTTAAAATTTACGTCGTGTCATTGAGTCATATGTGGCTGTCATATTAATGAAATTCGATTGAAAAGAAATGAGTTATTATTCTTTGGCTGTTATGGTTGGAATTGCTTTGGGCGTTGCATTGTACTATCTGAAAAATAGTAACCCCATGAGCTATGAAATGCAGGATGATTCGACCACCGGAGAATTCCATCGCAGTCACATTTTGAGCACTGTCAGTCAAAAATACTGCGCTATTTGCTTAGAAGAATTGCAGTATCTGAGTAAACCCATTACTGTTATCAACTGTGGACACACATTTCATAATTCGTGCATTCGAAGCTGGGCCATTAGAAGTTCTACTTGCCCTGTTTGCAGACAGTCGGTCACATTCTAACACAAATTAGAATTTGCATAAAATAGTAGAACTTTTACTGCATAGGTTGCGTTTCTGACACACTGTCAGATATGTCAAACAAAAATTTCAAGTTATTTTTATGCGAAAAATAATAATGGACAAACCTCCCTTTTTTATTCTGTTGATTATCATATTCGGCGTGGCAATTTTCTTCTATCTGAAGAGGCATTCGTGTTATAAAAAATATTTCGTGCCTGGAATGAAACGAAGTAGAATGAACTGCAAGGTTCTTCCTTCTAAAGTTGTAGAAGTGTTGAAACCTGTGTTCAAGATTCTGTCGTACGGGCACTCGTACGACGCCTGTAAAGCTGCCCGATGTCAAAGATCAAAAACCAGATATCTGTAGTTCTTTTAAGAAATTAGTAAAATAATCTCTAGGAAATGTAATTTAACAACACCTATTTATTAAGCAACAGATGTAAATGCAAATTTTTACAATAAAAGAAAATGTAGTCATAATACCTACACTCATTTCTGAAATGAAAAAAAATCAGTTGTGGAGGTTCAAGAAGGGAAACCCTGTTTGTTTATTAATATGTTGTTAATTTAATCTAGGTCTAATTCTACTCCTCCTAACTTCTGTTTCTGCTGATGTCTCATGCCTAAGAAGGTGTCCTACCAACCCAACTCGCCTATTTCTTATTGATTTCCATATAATCCTCCGTTCTCCTATTCAAGGAATAAGGAATATTGGCAAAAATTAAATAAGCGTCTTAGTAACTAATTGGTGAACGTAGAAAGACGGCAGGGATGCCATTAGTGAAGTCTCACCACCATAGCTTCCCACCGACTCGCTTCTAATACTTCTTAAATTGATTTATTCTGAATCCACTCGATTTGGATTAGTCAGTAACAGCCACGTAACAACGGGCGAATATCTAATAATTTATTTACTATAAAACATTTTATAACGATTGAAACGTCACCGTGCTAATAAAATATCTTTAATTTCGTGGAAGGAATTTATTATGTACAGTGTGTTCTTACTGTACCTACGACCCATGACTCGCCATCAGAAATAAAATCATCATCATTATGGGATCGTCAGTCCGAAGGGTGGTTGGACACGCACCTCTTTAAACCTAAAATCAGCCACTTCTTCTAAGTTATCCTTATGTGCACGTTTTCCCTACTTTTTCTTCCTTGCATACCAATATTTTTGATTTACTTTTATTTATTTTCATGCCATAAGTATTATTTTGTCAATATCGCTTCCATTTCATTAAAGACTATCTCTAATTCCTTGCTGAATACTAATACTGCTATATTATCTGCAAATCTAAGCATGCTAATCTTTTTCCTCCTGTATATCTATTCCTAAAGTCATCTTGTCTTCAATGATATTGTTCATCATCCTTTTCTGACTCCCTTCCTAATATTTACTTCTCTACGTTGCTGCCTAACTACCGTTGTTCCTAATACAAACTATAAGTCACCCTTCTATCTCTGTATCTCATCCCTAAACAAAATACCGAAAATAAAAGGCGTTAATTTATTTTCAGCATTCTATGCTATACTTCTTTCATCACTACGAGCTGCCGGTGATTCTTCAGCAGGCTCAAGTTCAGCAGATAATCCTTCGAAGTACCCAGCAGCAGAGGGAAGCGCGTCCTGCCGGCCAGGTGTTCATTAACCCTTTAGCGGCAAGGATAACGCAACTGCTTTCAGCGGTGCGACCTTCAGTAACCACCCAGACCTCAAACACGCGAACTCCTGTAGTTAACAGTTCGACGGCTACAACAGCGTCGGTGGGCACGTCGGCCCAACCGACCGTTACCAATCAAACCAGCCAAACGGGACCTCCGTCCGTTGAAACGACGGAGGTCCAGACCTCAACAAGCCCAACCGTGGCAACCTCGATGCAAACGGTAGGAAGCACGAGACCTCACGGCGGATCAGATGCATAAATGAAATGAATGTAGCAAGCAGACTGTATAAGGATGTATAGTTTCTGTTCCCGTTGACTATTTTAATTTAATTGCTTGTCTAGAATTGTAAATATTATCTACTCTTATATATTTCAGTTGAGAAGGTGGTTGTACCAGTTTTAGGTGTATCGAATGGATTAAGTTTTAAGCAGCAAAATTAAAAAAAAAATAACAAACTACCCGAACACTTAAATGGCCTCCAGTCGGTTTAATGGCATTTCATGTTTTTGTAATATTTTGTCTGCTATCTTCTTGCACTGCCGCTACCGGCAAAAGATCCTTACTTTGTTGTGTATGCCATTTTGTTTGTTACATATATAATAATAAAGTTATTTTTTAACTATATTCTCGTTTGTGAGAGAAAGGTGCTTTTCGAGATGAAAAAGAAGCCAGATAAATATCAATATGGTGATCACTGATTCAAAGACAAAGCTAAATTAATATATTCGTAAATATAGGTATACTACTATAAATGAAAAACTTTTTTTTACTTCTGTTTAACGGTTGGCTATAAAAGAAAAGGAAAATGGAAATTCAAATAAAAATTATTTTCCACAATTTCTAATTTGATTGTTAACAATTTTTTATCCGTTCGAAATGTTCCAATTTACGTACAGTAATAAAATGCATCGGAACGAATTTTCACTGAAATGTTCGACATGGGACGGAATTTATATTTTCCGTAAAAATATTATGGATATTTTTAAAACAAAGTACCGAAAGGTACAATAAAATCTTTAAAATTATAGGCGATCGAATGAAATTTATTAATAATAGAAATGAAATATTATTCTAATTCTGCGTATCTACGATTATCATAAAAATTGAATAAAACCATTTCAAGAAATATTTTCTTAAGCACTGTTGGAGGGGGTTGGAACTATTGGTGATGAATTACTCATGTAAATGTATTTGTTTGTTGATTAAATTTTTGCTATTTTTAATTTTGTTGATTTCTAATATTTCACTGTCTATGTTTAATTTAATTAATTAATAGTTATCGTTAAAAGTATTTTCATATTATAATTATCGTACCAAAAACTTCATTTTTGGCCTTTTATTTCAGTTATCTACTACAATTTAAAAGTAGGTACTTATTGTTATTTAAACCTTTTAAATGTTTTATTAATTAAATTCTTTGTTGAATCTTAATTAATTGAAATAATTTTCGTAGATTCATGTTTCATTTTTTCCTATTTCTTTAGCAGAACTCAAGAACATATAGAAGACAAACATCCTTATTAAGAACGGCAACGTTGTACATTTACGATATACGATTTACCCCCGCCTATGTTAATAAGTAACAAGCAGTGTTGCTTAACTCTGCCTTGAACTTAATAAAGGTGACCAAACATGCGTAGTAGTCGGCGTGAAAGTGCAGATTCATGTTCGTGCAAGCAGCAGCCTGTTTCGGTTATTCGGTGAGCTTTTTACTGTTTTCCAAGACATTTACGTACTGTATAGACAATTGTTCGATATTATAACATTTATTTCGTTTGTTTTTACGGACTGCTATTCATTTGGCAGTAGTTTTTAACGGAAACGTGTCGATTAGATTTCGTTCTGCTGCCTGCCTGATCGTATATCTCGCAAACGCTGCTTGCAGATGAACCGGCTGCCATTTTGTTGTCGTGTTATGAGAGTGAAATTTTGCCGCTCGCTTCGGATGTATTAACGCGGAAGCTTACAGGAAGTAAAGGAAGTGCGGCATCGCGTACACCACTATCTCACGAAGCGGCAAAAATTTAAGTACATGAACAAATCCAGTGGTGTCTCGTTTAAATAAAACTATGTAAAATTTGTACAAATACAAACAGTTGGTTATCGTCTACATAATGTTCCTGTTTTGGCTGTACAAAAATCCTTAAGGAGGAAACTGAAGGTAAGTGTAGTAGTAGTAGTAGGTACTTAGCAATAATTTTTAATTTTGTGGTTTAATTACAACGTTGTTTTCTACCATTTATTTGAAATATATGTTATTTCTTCGGCTGTACTTCGAACCAGAGTTGGATGAAGACGACGATTACTAAGGTAATTTTAAAGGAAATTCAACATTAATTTTTTGGGGGAGGCAAGTCGAAATAACATTTTTTATAAATGATTAACTTATCTAAAGAGAAACTTTGTTCCAGCGCAAACTTTTAATTATATTTCTAAATATGTGATCCAATGCCCGTAACAAATATGTATTTTTCCTTAAAGAGTTCAGGATTGTCATTCATGTCGACGTTAACTTGATGTAATTGCACTTAAGGAAAACCTATGTATAAAAACTCGAATAGCTTTTAATACATACGTGATGATTGATAATTTATTGAATTTTGACAGAAAATAGGAGCAAATTATTGTTAAACTAGTTTTAATTTAGAAATTTCAAAAAGACGTAATCTATACATGGAAACGCTTATTTGCATATCCCTGCAAACTTATTAAGATTTCAGTAATTATTGTGAATAAGATTGATGAATTTGTGCTTATTATTAATTAATTAGTTGGATTTTTCATGAAAGCTATACAAAAAGAAATGTTAGGAGGTATACAGTGGCTGTTACATTTAAATGTAATTTAAAATTGGATGGTGAACCAAATATTTGTTTTAAATTTTTTGTTTGCCAAGTCTTGCCTTATAGTACCTAATTTATTTCTTAAAAGAAAATGACTGCCTAACGCATCCATGAAATAAGTGTGAATGGTCGCCTAGAGAAAATCCATATAGTTTTTCCACGTCTTTGCTCATAAAGCCAAATCGCAATCGCGTGTAATGTATTGTGTGGTGAATTATCGCGCGAACCAGGCCTGCCACATCATTGACCAATAATTTAAATGTATCCGGGAACTATACTGATTACTCGGGAACGTTCCGTCATTTTCCAATCTTCGCCCTTCAGGGGCAACGGGGAGAGGCATGTGCATTTTTCATCATTTACTCTAAAGCGTTTATGCCATCGTCCCACTGGCAATGAAATTAAAGGGGAGTTTTTCGTCGGTATTCAGTGGGTAGTATCGGCTTGTATCGAAAATTTTTACAGGGTGGATTTCATCCAGTTTGTACTTAGTAGAAGTAGAAATCAGTGTTACTTACACGGAGAAAATGAAAAAGGAAAATTTACCTAAATATTAAAGCGATATTTACCATTTATCCCACTAGCCCGTTGCTTCGTAAGCGAAAATAATAAAAATTATAATTTGGATCCGAATTTGTATCTAAAAATAAAATCCTAGCAGAAATAAATTTACTAGGTATTTTAGTTGATATTACAAATTAAGCTGTAATATAATTACGAAACGAAATAATTTTTAAAAAGGCATGTCAAAATTGCAATGATTACTTACAAGTTACCGAAGAAATTCTACTATTTCTACAATCGAAAATTGTAATTTTTGCTTTACCTTAAAAATTTACTTTTCTCCATGACTTGAATATCCCATAAATATATTCGTATAATTTTGATGCTTGAGTCGTTTGGCACTTGGTGAAAGATGTTGAAATATAAAATTCAAGAAATTGAAGAAAAATACTTGATAGACGCATATATTAGTTTCAAAATTAATTTATTATACCATCTCTGAGTGTTTCTATTAAATTCAGTGTGATAGTAAAAAACGAATTCCTTTAATTTTTCATCTTTTATAATGAAAAAGTAACTAATGTGAGTACCGTGCATGTATAGTATTAGTTAGGATTGTACATTGTCTTCTTTATTTTTTAATCATGGATCCGAAAATTTTTAGAATAAAAGATATAGGAACCGACACTTGAAAGGATTTTCTGACGAAATTACTTTGATAACTGTTGAATTGTCTCCATGAAGCACAACAGACGGTTTTCAATTCAAAAATAAGAAATTAGTAAAGGTTTTGGCGCCTCGTCTCGCTCAATGATTTTACTCAAAACGTTCTGGTACTGTAACCCATGTTGGTAGTGTACCATGGTAATGTCTTTTGATGCTTTCGATATTTTTGCACATATAGACGCGCGTATCTTCAGATGATCCCCGCAAAATGTTCGTCTAAAAAACTCAAAACTTTTTCGCGCAAAAGTTCCTTGAAAATCCTTTTATTTATGTAGCAGATTGTCCAATCATCTGGTACTCTTTTTAATAAGAAAATGGTATATGTCCTACCTTCGATCTATACGCAAATACCACCTTCAATTTCCAATTAGTTTAAGCACATAAAGGAGCTATTCCTGTCTGACTTGAATGCTGAGTCGACTTGAATGAAATTTTGGATGCGTATTCTGACTATTATACTTCATTTACTTTCTGTAGCGATGTTCCCCTTCCAATGTCTTGGATGCGCGTTGGCAAAATCGTAGGTAGGGAGAAAAAAGCTCATACTCTCGGCTCTTGTTCATTAAACATACTTTTTCATACAGTCCCTGCCAAACGTTTGGTTCAATCATGAATAGTCGTGCGAGTCGAAAACAAGCGTTGAAACCTTTAATATGTCTTCAAATATAAATAAACATCTCGTTGATATTTTGAGTAGTAAATAGTACCAATAACAACACATTTGAGCAATGCAATTGTAGTGGATAAAACGGTCAGTTTTTCCGTGCAGTACTGTACGCATTATACGCTCCACACCGGTTAAGAGTTTGGCCGAGAGTTGTCTCCTTCCTTTTCTGGCCCAGTGCTGTTCTTTTCTACTTTGCGCCGGTCAAACTGAAGGTCACATCGCTACAGAAAGTAAACGAGGTATACATACTATGTTTCTATGTTCCGTGAACTTTTTACCTTACCTGTATAGACTGAAAAACGTTGAAATATGTTTTTTATTCGGTTTTCATTTATAATTGGCCAAGAGAGCTCTTGCTCTGTTGCTACTTTTCTTTTTTATGGTGTGTCATTTTGGTAACACTGCAGAGTTCAAAAGAGAGATAGAAGTAATGGCTGCTCCATTTCAAGAACGTAATTAATTAACCTTTATTCAAAGTGTCCTTTTATACGTGCATGTACTTTGATAAAAACGAACTAGGTGCCTAGTTCACGTAGCGTTTTTCTAAATTTAAACATATTTGTCCTTCTGTTTTGGTCGTTATGAGTATAGAAAGGAAGAATGGGATGCGACAGCGCACGGTACAGCGCCTGGAGGCTGTGCAATGTCTCCGTTCGTTTGCTACGTTTGTTGGTAGGTCGGTTGCTTTGTAATTCATGGGCTCGCCGGTGGTATATTTATCATGTTCCACCCTCTCTTACACCCATCCCTTATTACGTTCGTCCGGGATCTCTGTTTATCCGAAACCTGCGGGGCTTTTAATCTTTCCTCTGGTCCATTTGTCTCAATCGCAGAAACAATGTATTATTTAAAAGTTGCCACGGACACCTTGAATTCCCGTTA